GTTTATTCGGTGTTATTTACTTACTTTACTTCCTATGTCGACAGCAACTATGAGTTCATGTATTTACAGGTTGTGATAGTACTACTATGCAAATTATCTTTTTCCTTCACCTAGTTTTGAGCTACTTTTTTCTGACATGATGATTTTGCTGTACATTTATTGCTTTTCTCTTTCAAATATGTGTAAAATATTTTTTTTTTCTGTGAAAAATTCCTATTTTTAAATATTATAAAATTTTATAATGGTAAAAGCCTAACTAAGTCCCAAAACATGCAAGAAATCTTGTTGAAAGCACTTAATGGTTTAGATGTGATTGTATTGATATTAACCAAGACTACATATAGGAAGTATGATACAGTGACTCAATAGCAAGTCTCATCAAATTTAGTAATCAATGGTCAATTTAAAACAGATTATTCTCATAAATTTAATGATCAGCTTGACATGTAAATTTGTCAATTTCCGGATAAAACTGACATACTACTAACAATCAGCTGAGATGCCAGTTTATGCCATGCATATTTCCAATACATATTATTATTTTCAAACTGAAAATCATCAGGGTTTGAAATCAAACAATTAAATAATATTTGAGGAAAATTAATTACAGTCGAAAACAACAGAAAATTCCAAAGACTGATAGAAATATGTAAAGGATTATTTCTAATTATTCAAAGTTTCCAGACACACAGATGCACAATAAGGCAGCCCTGCTACACACAACACAGTGACATTCAATTCAGTTAAGTTGAACACGTAATATATTATGCAGATGTAATTTGCAACAGTGTGTGTATTTAAGTTATTAAATGGATGACTACAGACTGGTATTCAAATATTTGACGTTTGGATAATAGTTCTATAATCACCTGCTATGAAAGGAAGGTAATTAATTTAGGTCTTTTGTGCAATATTTTTTCCCCTTTCTACTGTCTGTGACATCTAGGAATAATGATTCATTCCTCATTAGCCAAATTATACTCAGATATCTAAATTATCTTTTGGTAAATAATTCTCAAATACCAAAAAGTGATTATCAAGGGACATTAGGAATGAACCATTAGAAACTCGTGGAGGGTGATAGTAGAATTGGATATCATTAAACAAGCAATCTGTCAGCTGATATAGCTCCACTGCATTGTTGAAAATATCATTTTTAGCAAAAATATTCACTAAAATAATATTATCATCAAAAAATGAGCAAATATGTCAGTGGTCCACTAAAGGTGGCTAAATGTAAAATATCAAAGCAATTGGACTAGCCCAAAATGACAAAAATTAGAGAATTGAAGGTATCATCACAAAATGAACAAAGATGACTGATATCCACCCGAGGTAGAGCTAGCTGTTCAACAAAGTCAACAGCGGAACTAACAACAATCCCGCGATTGTGTGCAAAGTCTTAAAACTGATAAAATGCATCAATATACTTTATTTGTAAAGGGCAAGAGCTGTGTAACTTTTTGTCTTCCAAATAGTGTTTCATTCTCTTCCGCAGTCGTGTCCACTGTTTCAATAACCGCGGGTTATCTAGGTCACCAGAACAGTGGACGCACTGACAAATCACGCAAAAAAATTTGGGGAGACATGAGATGTCTTGGGACTTTCTACGAGATTTCAGCATCTATTGCAGAATAAGATCTAATACCAGAATGGATACTGCACCACATGGTTTGGGAAATCATAGTTAATGAAACTAAGTCAAGTAACATGTATGTACGCATTGTACATACATGTTACTTAAAAGGGGAATAAAATACCACTTGAGTGAAAGAATAGATTAACTTACGCATGACAGGAAGTACAAACTTATCGTTTCCTGTTAGCTGACTTAGCTTCTCTCGATAGATAGCTTTACCGATATTCTCTGGGCATGATAAGATAAATATAGGCCTTGCATATGGTCCTCTTTTGTTGACGCCACCTATAATAAATAGTATTATGGGATATTGGTGAGAACTATTATGGGATGTACAAAATACCAGTATTTCAAATCATATTGGCCTAAGTAACTAAGCTAAGATGTCGGTGATACTTTTGATATTTCTTTTTCCATTTACTTAGATGTCACTTTGGATTAATTTAAAAAGAAAATGTGTCACTGTCACAGGATATGATCAAAATGTAAGAAAAAGTAACAACAGTGATGACAATCAAGAATAAGGGTCAGATCATTAATTATTAGGAGGGATGACAGAATTTAGAGACAGATTCATTTTTTCTTCCAAGAATTTACCTATTCTTCTTCCCTGCAAGAAATGATGGTCTTTTGTCACTGTCTAGGCAAACATGAAGTGATGTAAAAGATGTAAAAGGTTCAAAAATAAGTTATATATCTCAAGAGCCATTTTTTTTATTCATAAAAGTAATTATAGGCAAAATAGCAGATACTTAGGCTGTGAAATTCTGAAGCTTGTTATTTACCGTTTTTAATTTACCAAATTCGAAAATTGCCAATGCAAATTTAAAAGCACTGAGACTGCTCAGTAATTAGCAAGGAACTGTAATGAACGTATCCATAATTTCAAATATAGCATCTCTCACAAGCTCTCAAAGGCAGTTACCATGACAACCAATTGAAGCACTGCGAATGCAAAACACAGTGCGAGGCACAATAGCGGGGGAGTTGTGAGGTATTGTCGAAAACCTATTTTTCCAGTCAGATGGTTATTATATTGCTTTTGCAGACATTATGGAAAAACATAAAAGCTGTCTGGTATGTACGTCACGCAAAACTCACTCAAAATCGATAATAACACGACTTCCAAAGATTTTCATTGCATATTCACCTAAGGTTATTTGATCTTTTGACGAACAGAAATAGAGATACAAAAACGAATGAGATACATCGGTATGGGCAGGGTATTAAATACTTAGTGAAACTATGTAACGAGTCATACATCCTACTACGATAGCCATTTTATGACCACAATGCTACGTATAACAAATCAGAAGAAATCCAGTATGTGTTTTTCAACATACAGTATACATAGACTTGAAACATTACAGTTGTTGCGCAACCCATGTTTGAATTTTGTGTAAACTAACGATGTATTTTACACATGTTGTTTTTGTCACTATAGAATCCATATCGAATATGACGTAGCGACTGTGGCGCTTTACACATGCACAGCTAAGTTTTTATAATCTGACAATAAACTGTCGGTTTCAGCAAAAGTTTTTGATTGTCTATCTATCCACTGCAAGCCATAAACTCGCAATTAACGACATTAACATATTATTACCATACACATGGACGCTTAACTTGGATGATAAGATGAAATACTTCACATGTCACAACTTGAACGATTAGAAGAAATACTTCAAATATATTGTTATCAGGCAGATTGAGAAGAGAATCGTATACACATTACAGCAATTAACCACCTAAATAATTTTCGCTGAAAAGACATTTCAAATGTTTTGTAGTTAACTTATTTTCACTGATGAGTTGAATGTAAAATAGAAAAATAGTATATTGATTTATTTTATTTTCACTGAATCATTCCTTTAGCGCACATGGAGAAAATAAATTTCAATTAAGTATTTTACAGTATTTCACTGACTGCTATAAATAGGCTAAATTTTCATATTTAACACAAGAATGTATTGTTACCCTCACAAATCAGTGATTTAAATATCCTTGCAACATAACATCTGCTGAAATTAAACACAGTGAATGTTTTCCCTAATTTTTAAAACATAGTTAAATTATTGGTGCCCTACCCAACAAATACTAGTAAGCCACACATGGTGATCCTGAATATCAACAAATCCTAAAAAATGTTAAAGTAATACAATTTTGTTCAAATGTTCTTTCGGAATGAATAACCTGCAATGCCCTCTTACCAATACAACATTTGTTACTCAATTTTTAAAACATAGTTAAATTATCAGTGCCCTACACAACAAAATACTAGTAAGCTACACATGGTGATCTTTAATATCAACAAATCCTAAAAATATAAATGAACTGAAGAAAATGTACTACATGTATACAGTGACAATTTTTGATTCTAATATGTACATTAAAATCAATTTAGTGAAATACGTAATTTCACTAGTGGTCAGTAATTCACAATTATTGAGTAGAACATGCGTATTAAAATGACAGATGTGTCTCTGGTGGATACAAGTTGTATTGTAATGATGCAGTATATACAATACATGCAGAAGTTGGTTCATATGCATTCTACTGGAGATGCGCTAATAATGGAGTAAATATGGTACTGTATTCTTGTAATAACCTTATTAGTATACATCTTTTCCTTCCAAGTGAATGCCATGGGAATGCCGAAATCCAAAATGTTTATAACAGAATCAGGAAACTACTTTGTGCTGAGTCCGGTCAAACTCTGGTGGCAGCTATGTTTGTTTTTATTATCAGAGAAAACTTACACGCGTAACCATTCCATATTTGGAGCTCACATTTCCTAATATAGTAGGTTGACCCCCCCCCCCCCCCCGTACAATACTGCAAAATTACGGCACGCTCTAACTTATAGCCTTACGGTCACAGATGTATAATAATATAAAATAGTTGTGAACAAGTAGGAGATTTTGACTCTCACAATTCTGATGTTTTCAATCCACTGATAAAAACTTTAATTTTTATTATCATCAATATAACTGACATTCAGGCTATTTACAAAAATATAAAACAGGTGAGATGCATGATGGGAAAAATTTCCTTCCACCATAATGGGATATTCTTCAAAGCGCAAACCTAAATTACAACCATATAACATCCCAGAAAGTAGCGCACACGTAGAGGAAATCAATTTACTGAAATGCTCGTATAAAAAAAAAATATTTCCGAGATTATCGTTTACTGAAAGAAGAAAGTTCGACCCTTGAAACCAGTAAATCCGCTTGAGTCTAGCTTCACAACTGCCAATTATAATGCACATTTTTAATATAGATATGTGGATGTGAGTAGCATTCAAATACCATACACATATCTAGCAGGCAAAGACTGCTTTTTGTTCCCATTGTCATCTATGACAGATGTGCAGTAAAATAATGAGGTACACGTACATGTGTTCCTGAGATTGATCAGCCATCATTATTGCTTAAGTCTAAGCAATCAAGTTACTGTTATATACTTTATTCTCACTCAGAATTTATTTTCGTTATTTTCATTGGAGGGATGATTTAGTGATAATAAAATAATGTATTTTATAGTATGAGGCATGCATGAACATATTATTGGATGTGTCATGAATATTAATTACTTCATCTTGAACATATGGTACAGGAAATATAATTGAAGACTTTTTATATAACAGATAGAAGGGAAAAGATAAGCCATCTCTATAATGGTGGTAGCTCATGTGGTGGAGATAACACTACCTTGAAAATAAGGCAGATCTCTTGTTAATCACTACTAACTACAAGACTTATCAAAGCTCCCAGATAAAAAGGCTCTACAAATGATGAAAAATGCAAATTACAGTTTTTTTTATATCACTTTTCATTCTCTAGATATTTAACTTTTAATCAGTGTATGTAGTCCACCATCTTGATTCTCCAGCAAAGGACTATGGGTAAAGTATGACCTCATAACAACTGTTGTGAAAAATTTCATCTATAACTTTTAAAGTAGGACTTAATAGTAGAAGATAACTCATAATTTTTGAGAAAGTTGATCATAAATCACATGACAATGTTCATTGCTTTAGACAATATATTCCTCAATATTAGCAACCCAGTACCAACCATGCAAATATTAATTTTTTTCTTTTTCTACAAATGTTTCATATATTTTATACTGTACATCAATGAGAATATCTTATACAATAACCAGTTGACAGCAAATAATGGGACAACAAATTATCATTCAATTTTCATTTATATTGGCAATATCATAACTGGAAGGCTTCATTAATAAGAGAGATGCATCATGGGAGAACCTGAATACTAAAGTTAGTGATAACTTATAACCATACATCAGAACATTGCAACATTTACTTCCCAATTAGATGTTTGACTTTAGTGATGAGGCTATAAATTCTGTAATAGTAAAGATTAGTAAATCTAAAATCTTTTGAAATTTGTCATGCGAACATTTGAATTTAGAATTGTTTCAATACATTTCAAAATACATTTGATGTAACATGTAAACTTATTCTTAATTTCAAACAAAACGATAAGTGGAATGCACTGTAGTCTTATGAGGGTAGTGGGGTTCTAGCTATCCTGGCTTTTCGCTTCTTGTGATCTAAGAAACCAATAAAAGAGAAGTTCTCTCATAAACTTTAATTGCTAATTCCTTAACACTGTGCAATATAATTAGAGCAATAAATTTAACAAATGGAAAAATACATAACTAAGGTTTTTTTGAAAAATAAACTACAATAAACATTCTTAAAGAAAAAAATTATTAGTGAAATGATTACAAGATAAAATTTTCAGCACAAGAATTGAGCAGGCAGAGGTTTTATCAGCACCTGATAAGATTATTTTTATACTCATACATGTGTATGTGTGAATAGCATTATACAAAGTTTTATTTTATCAGTAGCTTAATAGAAAACTTAATAATACATTGTATGAATAATAAGACGAGTAAATCAATTAATTATGAAGTAGACTTTGTGTCTGTTTCTGACACTACTAGTTATTTCTCATTAAGAGTCATTTGTAAGCGTATGATTTAATAAAGCGTATATTAATAAAAACAGCTGAATGACTTTTTTGTCACATTATTAGCGTCGTCTCCAGGGACAACCCAATCCACAACTTATACTAATCATATTCAATACATAGACGTAAATATTGACAAGACTCATCAAGATGCATTATCTGGATTTTTTTTAATCATTATGAATGAGCGAAGATATCAAGTTGTGAATGTATGGAATGGTTATTGATTTAATTTTAGTTTTGTGTCCAGCAATCTATTTCTCCAGGAGGTCACACGACTCATTTTATGTTAGTCTGGGCTAGGGAATAGCAAAGAGTATCCATCATGCATTGCAATCAAAATTATAGAATAAATTACCGCAGTTGTCTGAGTATAAACCCCTGCTCGAGTATAAGCACCTCTCCAAATTTACAGCATTTTACAACAAGGCATATAACCCTGGATGACAATTTTGAAATAAAATATGTCAGAAATAACAGTATTCAGACACATACACTACAAATTAATGGCCATTAGTTAGCCATTTTGAGCTAGGAAAGAAATGAACTGCCAGTCTGTAAGCCATTAATTTCATATAATGAGATGTTCCAGAACCAATCAGTAGTCAGTCATACTGCAGTACATTACTAATATGAACTGGTACCTAACTATGAACACAATCAGCTAAACTATAGTGCATAGACACTATATAGATAGCAATGGTGAATAAATCAAACTTGTAGCAAAATAATGGATGTCTGAGGCCATTAAAGTCAAAGTTATATGTACTAAGATTATACGTATAAATATATATTTGATAATAAAAACGAATATATGTCATTCGGAGGTTGGGGTGCGAGAAGTATTCAACGAATCACTCAGATCTGTCCATTTTCCATTCACTGTGATATTTTACGTTATGAGTGAATTCAAACATAAAAGCAAGACTAAGGTAATAGTGCTGTGACGTCAAAGCATCATGTGTTGATTGTCAAACATGAAAGTATTTTTGAGGTATTTCCACACTTCATAATGTGCTATACACATTTCATGATGGTAAAATTTTGATGAAGTAAGGTTATCTCAACACCATATTTCTCTCTGAGTTCAGCATTTTTACATTATGCTATGAAAAATAAGGAAATTCAAAATTAAATTATTTGATTTTTGCAGCAGATGTTGATTAGAAAACTTGGCTGACATGACATGAATGATATGCTATTGCATTCTAGTTGTTTCAGATATACTTCACTCAAAACCACAATAAGATCACAACAATATGTATTATAGAATGATACCCTGAGATTATATCTATAAATCACTTTAAATTTTTGTGAATTTTGCGGGTCAGAGATTATCAAGAAGGTTGAGAAAAATTAACATTTTACTAGGGTCTTTAGTAATGAGTGACTTTTGTTGAAAACAATTCTGTGTATAACGCTCTGACTTTATGAGGCAGTCAACATTTACAGCATTGAAAACAAGCAGCCTTTCATCTGAGATACAAATGTAGCTTCGCTGTTAGCGATGCACATTTCAATTAAGAAATTGAAGATATTATTAAGAAATGAACTTGTAGTACCTATATATGTTCAATATCAAAGCAATCAAAATTGTTTTATTAAACAAGAAGTCAAAAATATCACTTTTTACCCAAAATATTCATTAGAGAATTAAAGATATCATCACGAAATGAAAAAAATTAGAAAGGGGTCAACCTGAGGTCAATTTGTACCTCAAAACACTTGGACATGTAGTTTTCATGAAAAAGTCGAAAAAGTAAAAAGTGGATGCAGGCGCTAATGACGATGGACAATCACTCATATGATAAGCTCCGCTCGACAAAGTCGACAGCGGAGCTACAAAATGTAATAAGAGGTTTACAGTAGATATACAGTAGAAATTTATAGATGTGATGATATTCAAGCATGCATAATTAATCTGCTTTGAGATGTCAACTTGAGATGAAGGATTGCAATATGATGTACTGCTTTGAGATTACTAAAGTAGATATTAAATTTGGTGTAAATAATTAAAGTGGCACTGTAACAGGATTCATGAAAAGAATATTGAAATATCACAATAATGATGTGTTCTTTCATTACAATCGTGAAAGTAATAAACGAAAGTATTATTAAATTAGTAAAACGGGATGAATTTTCATTGTCTGGACTCAAACTTTATAAGCCCCCTAGCACGCAAAAACATTCAGTTCATACAACCACACAGGAAAAAAAAAGATTCAAAATTTAAACTCTCTAACATACTAATAAATAAATGCTTAAATGATATTATCAGGACTCCCTATACTAGCATATCATTCCATTAGCCCTCCCCAAGCATAAATGTAAAGTCAGTTCATTATAGAGTGCTTACTGAGCAAACTCCCCAGCATATGAATTAAAGAACACTCATTGAGTGAACACCCTAGCATATCATAACATATTTTCAACAATACTCAGTAAACACCTTAGTGTTTAAATTGAAGAATACTCAATTAAATAATCTCCGGAGCAAATAAATTAAAGAATACCCATTGGTGAACACCTTAGCATATAAATTAATGAATACACAATGTACTTTTTGAGTGAATTCCCCAGCATATTAATTAAAGAATCCCTAACTCCCTAACTTATAAGGTAAAAGGTTCATATTGAGTGTACTCCCTAGCACATGAATTGGAGAATACTTATTAACTTAACTCTCTTCCATAAAAATTAAAGAATAAAAGTCAAATTAACTGATCATGAAATAAATTTTTAACTGTATTAATCATACAGTACCTAACTGCACAATGGTCTCAACAATCAAGGAATGTTACACACTAATCAGGAGCCCAGCAACACATGAACAACCCACTTGACAAATTGAACCCTGACAGGAAACCAGATCACATGTACACTGATAAATAACTGAAGGTTGCACTTACTTTGTACACCTTCCGGTAGATCACTCTCTGAAAGGTGATGTTGTAAATGTGCTGCTGGAGCTAGGTGTCTCTCTGTGCATGGTTCTTCACTGGCACTTCGGGGAATCCCAGGAGAGTCTGTAAAATCTGTAAATAACAACAACATGGAGTAGATTTAGACAACCATAGATCCAGTATGGGTCTGAAAGTTGGTTTCAGTATAATTGAATAATGATAATGATATATATGTTAAATTGCCTGTGAAATGCCCACCCACATCTTTCCTATTTTAGATCTGTGAAAAGTTATTGATTTTGTTGTTGAAAATGTTTACTCCTATCCAAGTAAATTTTATATATTTCTCTTGCTGCATCCACGTCCACCTATCCTGAAACAGTTGACTGTTTCCGGATTTTCGACTCTCGCCGAGGTTAAAGTGCACCACCAAATGTCAAAATATGAGAAGAAGACATACTATTCGGCTGCACTTTTATAACACTGTCATTCAACATACTTTTAAACAAAATACATTTTTCAGTCAGCGTTTTTTTTGTCTCCTTGTACCATCATATGTGTCCACTTTACCTCAGATTCTTTTTTCGAAAAACTGTCCTCGTTCATGAAAGAACAACTAGGTTTTAAAGGAGCGTCAACAACTTAAACCTGAGTGCAATACCAACTAAATAGATTCCGACCCAATCCATTTTCAACAAGAAAGAGGGAAAGAGATGTCGGGTAAATGTTTCATATGATTTGACTTTGACTGAATATCGCTTTTTAGAGACCATTTAGTTTTGCTTTATGTAAGAGGTAACAATAATTTTAATAGTGACGTGAAGACAAAGCGTCGAACAAACAGAAAATTATGCAGCACTTACACACTGCTAATTGGTTTCATTTTCGCAGGGTAAAAGTTTCTGAATTGATCAGTGATATGTGTTGAATGACAAATTCACACCTTTGTTACCTTGATCTGCGTAAAAATCATGGAATAAGTATCCAGGCTTCGACTAAGTAATTTTTTAATAAGATGTCATAATTATGACAATAATGCTAACTCAAATCCACTCTGAATTTCTCTGAATATGCGTCTGTCTCAATTATTTTTGTTATCTAATCAAACGCCGCCATTCACACGCTTGTCCTTGTCGTGACCCGACATGTTCACCCATTTAAACAGAATGTCAATTAATTTCCTCGCGGGTGTCGTTTATTTAGTAACTGTGATTTGTCAATTTTAAAAATTATTTCTCTATTTTATTGATCACTACAGTTAAATGTTTAGAAAGTCAAAATATGTTTTCTTTTTTTTAATTTTTAATTTTTTTTCTTCAGTAGATGATCGATAAAATAAAACAGTGACATGTCTAGTAACCTGCTAAATAACGAGACAATTCAGGCATCAAATTTGATTTTGAAAAACTCAGCGATGATCGACATAGGCGTGGAGAGTTCCATGGAAATAGAAGTTGACACTTCGACTGACTACCATATAAGTAATTGTGCAGTCCAGACCAACCCCGTTGTAGTTCAGTGACAGTGTACAAATGTGCGATGAGGATGATCACGGTGACCAGAAAGCTATGCCAGAAAGGACATATTTCACCTCTAACTCAACTCTGTGCGACAAACTTGATATTATGTGTTCATTACGGTCCATTCTTCCTCGATGAATAAGTACATAAGTGGCAATTTAGTCAAAGAAGTGTGCCTTATATACAGTACAGTTCTCGCGAAAGCTTTGGCTTCACTTCAGCTTCACCTTCGCTTCAGCATGGCATCATTATGGCATTGTTATGGCTTCAGCATCGCATCAATGTCGTGACATTAAAAAGTTAGGTGGTTAACGCTTCGCTTCATTGTGGCCTCATTATGGCGACAATGTGGCATCAACATCGCTTCATCAAACAAAGAAGTACAGAACTCATTTCGCCCAACCTCTCGCTCACTTCCACTTTTCAATCGCTCGCTTTTGCGACCGCTTGTTGAATTTCCGCTTTATTTTCGACTGTGCAAAAATTCGGTCTACTAAAAATTTTGTGGTTTTCATAGATCATGGTTACTAGTTTATTAGTAACCATGCATAGATGTTGAACAACCATCAAAAGTTTATTTACTTTTTGTTTTAACTATCTATAATTATATGCACGCAATCTGACCCTTTGACCTAGATTTGGCTGGGATTGACTATTTTATTTTAAACAACTTATTCTGACATGACGCACTTCTACAAAATGTATTTCAACAGAAGTACGACATGGTTGTCTGGGTTTCTTTTCCTGACTGTGTTGAGTTTACGATTTGTATAATTGTTATTTCCCCCAAGGAGAAGACAAGCCGAAGGACCATGAAGCTAAATAGAAATTCCCACGCATGGACTGAGTGAAAGAAAATATTTCTAAGGCTAAAATAAAACCTTATATCTCTGTGTATTTGTCAATTTTGCATATATTTGGTATGATTGTATTTTCGTAAATATCTGGAAAAATCTCGTCTTTCGTTAATAACTTCATTTGTTTGAAATGTCTACCGACAGTGTCCCAATAATTTGTTTCCCGGTTTGGAATATCGATCCCTGTTGGTTTCTCCAAACGGTCCCGACGTCCGTCATTCAACACATTCAGCATTTATTTATCGCAATTCATGGGGATCATGTCCCATAATTTGTGGACTGTAAAACTAAATAGTTAAACAAGTATTATTTATTATATATTTTTTTTACCTCGCGAAACTACAACACAGCGTAGAGTTGTCGTGGTGAAACAGTCGCCTTGAAATCGATGGAACTTCAATTATCCATTTCTCACCTTGAAATAAAATAAAAAAATTCGTAGAGCATCAGGGGTTATATCATTAACCAGTCTTACCAATCGCTAGCTTTATTTTATTCAGTCAAATCCAAGTGCTATTCGATTTTTACAGGGTATGTGGCTCGTTTTTATTCGAAAATATTTTTTGTGAGAATACTTTTAAAGTACATATAGATCGGGCTCAGGTTGAAAATTGGATGTAAAATGTTACCAGACCGACGCCATCACAACCATCCAATCATAGTTAGAAATGTACGCACTTGTTTTGAAACTTTGTATCAAGATGGCAGGTGACAACACCGACACACCAGGCGGCGTACGTGTGTTTTGCATGTATCAGTAGTCTGGGCATGGGACTCGGCTAAAACTAAATGAAACACATAAAATGAACGAAAATAAGGTAATTTTATAACAAGAACAGTTTCATTTTGTATAGCAAATTGAGTTGTATCCGAACGACGATTGCATCGTGTGATTTAAATTTATCACGATTTTCCTTGCAGTCAATATGACACTTGTCACCTTGCAGATTGCAATGTACTTCACAAAGTTTTTGGTACCCAATACTCGCAACATTAAATAATTAAACAAGATATCTTTTTAAAATGTCATTTTACTCTTGGTATTTTATTCCCCTTACCACCTTGAATTTCAAATGGATTACATATCGAACTTATGTACATGTGTTTTTCTCTACTGCCTTTCCGTGTGAAAATAATGAGGTCATACTCATGTCACAATACTTTGAAGCTGATGCCAAGTTGATGCCATGAGACTGCGAAGCTGAGATCACGATGATGCCACAAAATAAGCGAGGCGAACACAGCTTCAATTTTCAATGATGTGAAGCTGATGCCACAATGATGCGATGCTGAGGCGACAATGAAGCCATGTGTAGGCGACAATGATGCCACAGAAGCCAAAGCTTTCACGAGAACTGTACTGTACATGTATCGGCAATGCAAGCTGCCCAGCAAGTTCCCCTTCTGACGTCACAAGGGGAATTTCTGTATACAAATGAGAAACTAATGAGGAGCCTCATTTTAAAATACACAAAAATAAAACCTGTTTTTTTCGTAAAAATATTTTATGCTTAGAAACATAACAATTAGTAATATTGATGTACCAATGAATGATTTTAGGTGAGAAGATAGCAGGTATTTTACGTACAGGCACTTTAAGGTGCCAAAAAAAGTAAAATAAGTTAAAAGTTAATCTGTGATTTAGGCATTCTCTAAATATTACAAAGCATGCTACTTTAACAACCTATATATCATCTCATAAATATTGGTGATTATGGTAGTGCATATGCCATACCAATGTTTGTCTAAGGGATTACATTACGGGTCAATTTTATAAGTCAAAGAAATCTAAAGGTGGTTTAACGCTTTGCGAGGGTCCCAGGTACACATTTATGCTAGACCGAGGTTTTTGTGTGAATCTACAAGAAACCTGCATCCATGTTATAGTTTTCTAGTTACAGCGTGTCAATATTGTCCAATGAATTGTTGTTAGCTTGTCTGTAGATATTTGGTCGTAGCTTGAGAATATCAGTGTTATGAAAATCCTGCGCAATTTACAATCCATTCGTGTGACCATGGTGTGACTTTTAGTGTTAAAAAAATGATGTTTTCAAAAGTTATAGCGAAAATGGTACTCCCTTAAACAAACATTGTTATGGCATATGCCATGTATGT